CCTTATAGGTAACTATTTTTCTCTTGCTGCTTGTAAGATTCTCTCTTTGTCTTTTGCCCTTGCATTTTAATTATGATGTGTCTTGGTGTGGTCCTCTTGATTCCTTTTGTTTAGGGTTCTGTGTGCTTCTTGGACTCATAAGTCTATTTCTTTCACCAGGTGGGGGAAGTTTTCTGTCATTACTTCTTCATATAGGTTTTCAGGATCTTGCTCTCTCTCTTCTTCTGGTACCCCCATAATTCTGATGTTGGTATGCTTGAAGTTGTCCCAGAAGCTTCTTACACTATCTTCAACTTTTTAGATTCTCTTCTCTTCTTGCTTCTCCAGAGAAGTGTCCTTTGCTTCTTTGTATTCCAAATCTTTGACTTGATTCTTTCATTCCCATAGTCTGCTATTGGGTCTCTGTATAATACTTTTTATTTCAGTCAGTGTATGTTTAATTTCTAGTTGGTCCTTTTTCATATCCTCGAAGGTCTCATTAAATTTATCAGCCTTTTCTAGGAAATTTTTAAAAAACCTAATAACTGTGGCTTTGAACTTCATATCCAGTCATTTGTTCTCCTCCATTTCTTTCATTTGTGATCTGTTTCCTTATCTCTTCATTTTCGCTGCTTCCCTGAGTTGGTAGGGTGGCTTTGTGTGCTTGGTGTCCTATATGGCCTGGTGGGTCAGCCTCCCCAGTTACCTGAGGTAGACCCTCTTGGTGAACCTCTTTGTGGACTGTGTGTACAGCCTTGTTATAGTTAAGTCTTAATTGTTGTTAGTATCACTGGGAGGAATTGACCTCCAGGCCAGTATCAGCTGTGTCTATGCTGGGATGCCTTCTGTATTGGAGACAGTCTTATAGGATAAGATTTGCAAAATTGCAAAAGCCTCTGTACCCAGCTTGGATGGGTCAGAGTCTCAGGGCTGAGCAGACAGTCTTGGTTTCCAGTCAGCCCTGATTTTGTGCATGTGTCTCAGACCTCTGCCTTCCACTGCTCCCCTGAGTTTCCACCTGACAGTCCAGATTCCTCCTCTAAGAGCGTGGGTCCCCCAGGGGCTTGCCCTGAACTGGGTTTTAGTGCAGTTGGAACTGAGATTCAGTGTAATCAGGAGCTTCTGACGCCTTTTGCTAGGGAGAGGACGTGGCAACCTCCACAGTCAGATCTCTCTGCGTGTACTTATGCACGCATGTGCATGCCTCTAGACCCTGCCTGCTGTGGCTGCCCTGAGTCTCCAAGTTTCTGAGTCTCCGTGTGCTTTTCTCTACAGTTCAGACTCCACCTGTATGAGCCTGGGTCCATGGGGTTTCGGCTGGGGCTGGGATTCAGTGCAGTTGGAATTCGTGTTCAGTGCAGTCAGGGGCTTCCTTTCCCCTCCCACTAGCCAGGCACTCAGCTGCCCTTCCTCTCTATGTGTGCACATCTCCCTACTTCAGCGCTTTGTGGCTCCTCTGATCTGTGTGGTTTTCTTCTTCTTTCTAGTTGTAGAATTTCCATTCAGCCAGCTTTCCTGTGTTTTTGGATGATGCCCTTTCAGTCTTTTAGTTGTTTTGAAATTGTTGTGCGAGGTGGCAGTTTAGATGCTTACCTAGGCCACTATCTTGGTTTTCCTCTTTCTTGCAGCTTTTAAGATTCTTTGTCTTTTACGTTTGACAATTTAATTATGTTGTGTCTTGGTGTAGGTATTTTTGGGTTCATCTTGATTGGGACTCTGCTTGTTGGATTTGTGTGACTTTTTTCTTTCCCAAATTAGGGAAGTTTTCTGTCAGTATTTCTTCAATCAGGTTTTCTATTCTTATAGGATAAGATTTGCAAAATTGCAAAAGCCTCAATTGCTCAGCTTCCTCTCCTTCTGGCAACCCTATTTGTGTATTATTTCATTTTATGTTGTCACAAAATGACTCCCTTAGATTCTCCTCCTGCTTTTTAATTTTTTTCCCCAGTTGCTGCTCTACTTGGGGTTTTTCTTTATTTAAAAAAAAATATATATCTTATTGATTTTCCACAGAGAGGAAGTCAGAGGGATAGAGAGCTAGAAACGTCAATGAGAGAGAAACATCCACCAGCCGCCTCCTGCACACTCCCTACCGGATGTGCCCGCAACCAATGTACATGCCCTTGACTGGAATCGAACCTGGGGCCTTTCAGACCACAGACCAACGCTCTATCCACTGAGCCAAACCGTCTTCGGCTACTTGGGGTTTTTCTACCTTGTCTTCTAACCCGCAGATTCATTCCTCAGCTTATTCTAGTCTACGGTTGAAACCATCCATTGTTTTCCTTATTGCAGCTATATCATTCTTCATTTTTTTTCTTAATTCTTACTCATATATTTCTCAGCTCCTTATAATTCTCATTGAATTATTAGTAATTCTCATTCAGAGGTTTGAGCATCATTGTAACTATTACTCTGAATTTTTTATTTTACAAATTATTTACCTCCATTTCAGTTAGTTCCTTTCCTGGTGATTCCTCTTCTCTCCTTTCAGGATTGTTTCTTTGTCTCCCAATTTTTTTCTGACCCTTTGTATTTATTTCTATGTCTTAGATCAAACTGCCACCCAGATTTTTGGGGGATGGTCCTATGTGGTAGGTACTTTCTGGGACCAGGTGGCGTAGTCTCTTAGATTTCCTGAGCTGAGTGCTTTAGGAAAGCCCCATACTTGAGTTATTTAGATTTTACTGATGTTATTTTCCCCTTTGTAGAGGGAGTCTCCTCAGAGGTCGTGTAAGTGGCTCACCTCCGACCTCATTATGTAAGCTGTTGTGGATTTGCTCAGGGTCCTAGCTCTCATGGTAAGGGTTGCCTGCAAGGTCCCACAGGTGTGCAAGACACTGAGGGTCCCAGAGCCCACAGTGGGGTGGCATGGAACTCTGTCAGGGTCTGAAGCCGGTGATGAGCACTCTGCAACTCTGTGGGGATCCAGGATCCCTCTGCCGGGGTGGTGTGCACTTTGGGATTCACTACGAGGGTCTGGGAGTCTGCATCCTGGCTGGAAGGAGTCCCAGGGCCTACAGCCTGGGTGGCACAACTCTGGCTGGGTGGCATGCACTCTGTGACTTACTGCGAGGGTCCCAGAGCTTGCAGCTACATTTACGTTTTTGATGTATGTTGCCAAATGGTCCTTCCAAAGTGCTGCATCAAGTTATTATCTTGAAAACAATGAATATTATTATTTGTCAACTAGTTGGTAATAGGTGTCAATTGTTTTACTTTGAGGATGAAAATTTCTTTATGAAATAACAGGCTATTTGTTTTCTGCTTCCCTGCAATCCATGTTCAGGGCCATAGGTCCAGAAGAAGTTTGTTGCTAAAAAATAACCCCCAATTTATATTTTGAATCAAATTTTACATTTTAACTTTATAATGGCAGAAAAGATGCCTCAAATTCCTAAGGGATTTCTTTCCCTAGCAAAATTGGACCTGATTTGGAATTGGCTTCTTGTCTTTCCCTGCAATCCATTTTCTTCCTCCCAGCATCCTACTTTCCTTAAATCTTTTTGGGATCTCCTGCAAGTATATTTGAATTTCTGAGGTTCTGGTTTTCTTTACATTTATTTTTAGTAGTTTCAAAAGCCCCTGTTAGCATGTTTGCCCTGGGCTTAGTTTAAGTCACATTGACTATCTTCTGAGGTGTCACTAATTTCATTGTTAAGAACCACCAATCACAAATAATAACACATTATATTTGCATGTCTGTGAGGTCCTTTCTAATTCTTGGACTGAGATTGAGCTTCAAGGTTTATATGACTTTTCAGCTTGTATAGCACTTTCATGTTCCTTTATTTCATGTGATCTTTATGACTCTCTGGTCACTTGTGAAAGAGGAAAGGGGAAAGGTATTCTCCACCTCTTTTTATAGCAGAAATAAAAACTCCAAAAGGTTAAATGAATTGACCAGGATCATCCAGTTAATGGCGACAAGACCCTTTGACTCTGAGTTCCACAGTCTTTTAAGATTCCTGATGGAATTAGAAATGTTTATATTTTTAATTTGATGCTGTAATCTGTAAGATCCTCTAATTCTTTGCCAATTGTTTCCAGAACTTGCATACCATTTTAAAGAAGGAAATTCATGATTTTCTAACATGTCAAAATGCAAAATTTAGGTTGAAATTGAGTTTATATGATTTATTCTTTTTTTTAAGTCTGTAATTATATGTAAACTCTATAGAAGGTTAATTGTGTGTATATTTTGGCCTCATTTGATAGGAATTTAAAATTCATTTTGTAATGCATTCGTTATAAAGTCAAGGAAGAAAAGCATACCTAAGGAAACACATACCAATAAGGTATCCTAGTACAGATGTCTTTCAAAATTAGCTATTACTGATGATGCTCTAGTTAGAACCATGCAGTTAGAACCATGTGGGAAATATGTTAGCAGGGTAGAGTAGAAAAATATATCTGCTTTTTATTAAAACTTGAAGTGTGTTATAACTGGGTTGAGTTTCTATCCAGGCAATCCCCTTCATGCTGACATCTGTAAAGGGTATATAAAACTGTGTTGAGGTGTTATTTTCTGTGGCTGCATGGACACATGTTAATCAGTTAAAAACCAAGTTTTTGGGAGTCTTTCACGTTGATTCTTGCTAATCCATGCTGAGAAAGCTTGTGCTTCCCCTATTAGGGGCATTCCCATGTGTTTCACTATTGGAAAAAAAATAGAAATTCTTTAGAGCAGATATAAATGTTTGGTCTTTGATCTGATACAAATAAATGACAATAGTATAGAATGGAGAATATCAGAATCCGCATCAGATTTATAGTACTATGAAAATATGTTGTAAAATGCTCCCTTTAAGTTAAGTGGTAAAATGTCATGTTCAAATACATCTTTTTATTTGATTGATAATGTTCTAAATGGAAAGTCAAGCTTAGATTTAGTCAAAGAGAAATGCTCCTACCTATAAAAACTATTTTTCAAGTATTTTTAATGGTTGAATTTATTATTGCATATTTGAATTGGCTGCCATATTTTACAAGTTATTAATAATTGATGTACTCCTTGCCAGACAACAGAAAGATCAAAGTTAATGGAACCAAGGAACCCATAGAGTTTAAATCAAACCAATGGTTTGGAGCAGCAGTGAAAGCTCACAGAGGGAAAGTGGTGGTGAGTATGAATCGTGGGCTGTGGGGTGGCTCTGGGATGAAGTGTACATGGAAATGCTTTAAAAATCATATTTACAAAAATCCTTTCATGCAAGAACATGTCAGACTTTTAGTTAAAAGCTTATCAACATTTTGAAACAGAAAATGAGTTCTTAATATTCAATAATCTATTTTTCATTTTAAAACCATAGGTAATAAAGCTTTTTTCCCCTGAAGATAAATGAGATATTTTCAAAAACAACTAAGGAAGGTAGGAAAATAATAGCTTCACCTTAAAGAGGTACATTTAAGAGCTGATTAAAAATAGACCAGAAAAATAGGACTATTATTATTAGGATTCATTAAAAGTTAATCTATGGTGTGTCATTGATCCTTTTTATGACTATAGGAAAGTTTTATTTAAAAATATAACTACTGCTGAAGCCAGTTTGGCTCAGTGGATAGAGCATCAGCCTGCGGACTGAAGGGTTCTGGGTTCGATTCCGGTCAAAGGCATGTGCCTTGGTTGCAGGCACATCCCCAGTGGGGGGTGTGCAGGCGGCAGCTGATGGATGATTCTCTCTCATCGATGTTTCTAACTCTCTATCCCTCTCTCTTCCTCTCTGTAAAAAAAATCAATAAAAATATTTTAAAAATATATAAGTACTACTTATATAGTTCTCTGAGTACATTATTATTTTTTAAAATATAAAATATCTCACTCTCAGATAGCTTTAAACTTTAAAATGCTATGACTTTATGATTCTATTCTCTTATTATTCTGAGCAATGATATATGTCTAAATTATTGAGAAATAAATGAATGCATTAAGCTAATCTTAATTTTTTTTGCTTTGTTGGGGGACTTTTTAAAACTGTTGGCTTTAATTTCCTCACAATAATAAAGCAGTAACTTTGGCTTTTAGGACTTTTTAAAAAAAAGCTATTTACATCATGATTTAATAAGAATAAGTATATAAAGAAAATGCTTTGCTTTATTTGGTAAGTGGTTAACCCCCCAAAAGATTTTGACATAAAACAGGTAACATATAAAATATACATAGCCCTCTCTAGTTACAAACCCAGCTTTTACAATATGCTCACATATTGTATTTGCACTAATATGATTCTCACATTCCAGAATTGGTAAAAAAAAAATTATTATCCGTTAGTGGTGTATGACTTATGTGAATTATTATTGAAAAGCTAGTCTGTCTAATAAACTATTTGAGGTTAAACATTTTGTGGTGTTCTGTATTGATTCTTTAAGTCTTAAAAATATCTGTAACGATTTTTGAGCTTTTAGTCAATATTTGTAGAAGGCTTCAGAATCACTGAAAAGAAAACCATATGCCATGTTTATAATAAAAGTGGTTAATTATGGGGCATGCTTACATTTTCAAGAAAAATGCATAGGAAATAGGATAATTAGAATTTTTCAAGTTCATTTTTTTATTTGAGCACTGAAACTTAACAGAATCAAGAATTAAATTCTACTCTACCTGACAATTATTAGAACATCAAAGTTTTGCAAATAAAAGTGTCATTTTGAAGATTCCAGGTATCTTCTGGTGATCAGTGGGCGTCACAGCGACTGGTCATTCTGCCGTTTGGTAGATTTGCAATTAAGCTTTTATTATATAGGATCAGTGTGAAACTGTGCAGATATAAAAACAATAACATTTTAGAGCTGACAGCAAGCAAGCACTGGAAAGAACTGTCAAGATATTTAAATACCCTATGGTGACAGGGAAGATGAGGCCAGCTGGCACAGTATAGAATCACATAGGGGAATGCTTCCATGGCTCAAACCTCCCCATTCGCGCGCACCTTATGTTAAATGTATTAGCCACAGACCCTATCAGTTCACTCAGAGGGCCCTAAGACAAGGGATCTTAAGAGGATTTCATATATCCTCTTTTACATTTGATATCCTTTCAAATACTATGCTCCTTAGAACCTAAGCTTCTGAAGAAGAACCAGAATGTCCCACACATGAATCATGTTTTCCTTACTGTTGTTTAAATTAATTGTTGGTTTAGCATGAAAAAAAAAGCCAGTAAATGAAAAATAAAGCCAAGAACACTGTGATTAGAGCTTAGTGTATCCAAAATAAAGTCATTGCTTTTAAAGGTCGTTAGATATACCTTCAATGATAAATTAGGGGAATCCATAAACAGAGGTTTACAAACTTGTCTGCATCCTTTAATCTGAGGGTAGTTTTATTTAAAGCAACAGACAAAGAACAGAACTTGTTCTCATTTTAAGGCATCACACTGATTAATTCACTGTTTAAATAACCATTTGCTTTTATGTAGATCCAATTTTTAAGAAGTGTGAGTTCTTTGCTTTAATGAAATATTTACTTTTGCCAGGTTATTTTTATTTAACTTAAAGTCCTCTGGGAAAATCGCATTTCTTTCTATATATTTGATTTGCTCCAATTCCATGGTGCATTAATGTTAACAAACTTGCTTTGTAAGTTTAATAAACTGTGACTACTGAAGTGCTTATTAGCATGCTGGAGGACAATTAATTCACCTGATAATTAACATAGTTTGTCACAGATTTAGCGTATTAATCAACAAGTCAAATCAAATCAAAGTTCTGGAAACCTATATAAAAATATTGCTTATCTTTGATGTTCCACAGGCTTGTGCTCCATTATATCACTGGAGAACTCTGAAATCCACACCAGAAAAGGACCCAGTTGGCACTTGCTATGTAGCAATTCAGAATTTCAGTGCATATGCTGAATACTCTCCTTGTCGGAACAGTAAGTTATTTTTATTCCTTGAAACTGAAATTTAGCTCAAGAGCTTTTCTGTGGTAGACTGTGCAGGTAATGTCAAAGGGAGAGGAAATGAGACGGGGGAAAAGATCACTACGGTCTTACAAGATGCCTTGCTGTGATAGGAAGGCCAAGACATGGGATTCTGCTGATCCTCTTCTGTGTTTTAGAAAATTTCTAGGTTTTAGATATTTTGTGGTAGAATTGATTGGATCCTTATCTTAGGCTTAAACTCTCAGTTGGTATTCAAAAGTCACACAGCAATCTAAGGAATGTTGACTGCTCACTTGTTAACCACAAGAATGGTGTTAGTGAATAATAATAATAGTAGTAATAATAATAATAATAATAATATAAATATAAATGAAGCCGCTTTAAAATGGAGCCGGAGCTGCCATCCCAGAGGAACTGCCTTACACATCTATGTATGCCTCAACCCTTTGGAATGTTAAAATGGCAAAATACACTGTGGACTGGGCCTAGAGCAACATTGTGTCCCAAAGAACTGTTTGCAAAGATAACAAGAAAGCAGATCTTATGACTACCTGACTGATGGCTACTGGACTGAAAATTAAAAACATTGCTTAGAATTAGCGTCACTCTGTTAGCTTTGCTGTGCCATTTATGCTTTCCTTCTATTTATGTAATTGCTCCCCTTCCTTTTCTCAAAAATATCCCTTGCCTTTGTTTCCTAATCAGAACAATATTTGGACTTTTGCCTGAACCAGTTATTCCCAAATAGCTATTACTTTTAACCTTAAGTAAATGCTTATTGCCCCTCACTTTGTAAGTCCTTGTATTTTTCCATAAACATTCATGCTTGGACCTGGGGACACATTGCCTGTCAGTGGTCTGTCCAGCCTGTGCTCTCAATGGCTGTTCTTTCTTTAGCAGCTGTGTACTCAGGTTATCTGCATGATACAACCTTCTCTCTAGGTATCTAGTCCCCGCTTTTTAAAAAAGATTCTCTGCATGTGGGGTCCTTTTCTCATTTGGTAGTTCTAGGAATCGTCCAGGGAAGCATTCTGTAAAGCGAGTCCATGAGTGTTATCTTCGGGGCACTGCTGTTCAATCATTTCATCTTGGTGGCATACCCAACGATGTTGGGACATTATTAGTGATTGTTTAATGCACTCAGAGTCCTCTCACACTCTTCCATTTTTCTATGTATCCTGAGGGTCATTGGATTGTATCAAGAAGCAAGCACAGGATTTTCACCCCTTTTCTTGGTAATTCGCAAGACCACATTGAGGAAAGTGGCATTAGGAAGATAATTCTAGTGGATGACTTCAGGGTATTTATTTTTTAAAACTCAATCCTAAATTAGATTTCCAAAACTATAAGTAAACTTTCCCTATTTCAGTTATTATTTTAAAACTTGAGATTTCTTTAGCAAGTATCAGAAATAAATCAGTGAAGATAAAGAATGGGCAGTGACATCCGGAAACCAAGATGGCGGCATAGGGTAGACACCCGAATGCAGCCTACCATAAAAAATTTGAATTTAGAACTGGAAAAGAGGGGAAGCATTGCCCTGAAGCACCAGACGGCTAGCTGAGAGGAGGCTCTGTTATCCGACACGGAAAGAAAGGGCGGACCGAGATTGCTGCTGGCGGACTCCCAGGCTCCCGGTGCGCGGAGAGGGTGGGCCGGGCTGAGTTAGCTACTGGCTTACTCCTGGTGCACGGACAGGGCAAACAGCTAATGCTCAGCTGGCTTTCTTGTTTGAGAGGAAAAAAGAATCACCCTATTGCTCTGATAGACGGCCCCAGACAGGGAGAGGCCAGACTGTCAGGCAGTGGGCAGAGATATCTCGGAGGTGTGTGATGCCAGAGGCCATTACTGTGGGACTTGGGGAGGAGCTGAAAGGAAAACAAAGCTTGTCTGCACCAACATGAGACTCTGCCCCATCCACGCTGAACACAGAAGCTCTCCCAGAGGCTGGCTTTCTCTAAGGAGGGACTGGCCGGAATCCAAAGCTTGTCTGCACCTTTATCAAAGAGGTGCTTGTGCCTGCAACCAATCTTCCGAAACTCACTGCTCACAGGACTTTTCTAAGGCGAGACTGACAGGGAACCAAAGATTGTCTGTGCCATCTCGAGACCCTGCCCCATCCAAGCGGAGTACAGAAGCCCTCCCAGCTGAGACTCTGCTAATCCTCCAATTGGCTTGGAGATCAACGCTTTCCAGTGATACCAACAATAAGCAAGGCTTAACAACAAGACTGCACACACAACCCACAAAGGGCTACACCAAGACTGTTCACCGCAGGTAACTGGGAAGGCTGTGCTACTGGGCTCTACCAGAACACCTAGCACACAAAACTATTCCATCAAATCAGGGAAACAACTAAAATGCAGACAAGAGGCAGGACACAAAGGAAGGAGATGGAGGAAAAGAAAAGATTGGACATTGAGTTCAAAACTACAGTTATAAGGTTATTCAACAATATCCTAAAAAAGGCTGATAAAATAAATGAGACCTATGAGGATATGAAAATGGAGCAACTAGAAATAAGAAGGGATCAACTAGAAATGAAGAAAACATTGTCTGAAATAAAAAATATTAAACAGAATGGAAGATCGCAAGAATCAAGACAAAGATGTAGAACATAAGGAGCCAGAGGACACTCCTCCACAGAAGCAAGAAGATAAGAGAATCCAGAAAGTTGAAGATAGTGTAAGAAACCTCTGGGACAACTTCAAGAGAAACAGCATCAGAATTATGGGCATCCCAGAAGATGAGGGAGAGCAAGATACCGAAAGAATACTGGAAGAAATAGTGACAGAAAACTTCCCCCACCTGGGGAAAGAAATAAACTTACAAGTCCAGGAAGCCCACAGAACCCCAAACAAAAGGAATTCAAAGAGGACCACACCAAGACACATCATAATTAAAATTCCAAGAGCAAAAGGCAAAGAGAGAATATTAAAAGCAGCAAGAGAAAAGCAGGTAGTTACCAATAAAGGAGCACCCATATGATTGTCAGCTGATTTCTCAACAGAAACCATGCAGGCCAGATGGGAATGACAAGAAATATTCAAGGTGATGAATAGCAAGAACCTACAGTCAAAAATACTCTACCCAGCAAAGCTATCACTCAGAATCAAAGGCCAGATAAAGAGCTTCACAAATTAAAAAAAAGCTACAAGAGTTCATCATTGCCAAACCGGAATTATATGAATTGCTGAAGGGGGTTCTTTCGGAAGAGGAAGAAGATAAAGAAAAAAAGTTATGAACAACAAATATGTAACTATCAACAAGTGAATCTAAAAACCAAGGGAGTTAAAAAATCTGATGAACAATATTAACTGGTGAATATAATAGAATCAGAGGTATGGAAGGGGAGTGGACTGACGATTCTTGGGGAAAAAGGAGAGTGGGGGTGCGGGAAGAGCCTGAACAAAAACTGTGCACCTATAAATGAGGACAATGGGGGGTGGGGAAAGGGCAGAGAGAGGGGTGGGAACCTGTTGGAGGGGAGCAATGGAGGGAGGAGGTGGAGAGGAACACACATGTAATAATCTGAACAATAAAGACTTATTTTAAAAAATAATAAAATAAAATTAAATTAAAAAAAAGAATGGGCAGTGACAAAAGAAGATTAATAAAGGGACTGTTGAGAGTTAGAGATCGAAGTGAATGGGAGTGGAACAGCTAACTTGGATGGTTTTGGGTGAGGATTTTGACCCAAAGAAGATTATGACTTCATGTTTTAAAATAAATTATCCACTTTCTTATATCTTGACAAATGTCAGCTGAATGAATATCAGTGAATTAGGATTTCTCTGCCCTGCAGGCATGGCTCAGTGGTTATGAATGCCGGCCTGCAGACGAAGGGGTTGAGGGCTAGGTTCCAATCAATGACATGTACAGGCTTCGTTCTATGGTGTGAGGGGTGAGTCCAGGAGCAACCATTCAATATGTCTCTCTCAGATAGATGTTTATTTCTTTTTTTCTCTCTCTCTCTTTCTTCCCCTCCCTCCCTTCACTGTCTCTAAAAAAACAATGGGAAAAAAGTGTCCTCTGGTGAGGATTAACAAAAATAAATTAGGATTTCACTTTAAATGACTTTAAAAGAGGAGTTTCTTATAGATAATGAGAATCAATTATGTAACATTTAACACATGTTTACAGAAACCATTGAGCACTAGTTATTTATGTTCAGGGAATAAAGCACACAAAAAGAGAGAACAAACCCCTGTCTTTAAGAAACTTACATGGGGGGTGGGGGCGCGAGGGAACAACAGAAAATTTTATGCAAATAAATAAATTCAGATTTCACAATTTTACTTCTGGGTATCTATCTGAAGGAAATTAAATCACAATATTGAAAAGATATCTGCACCCCAATGTTCATTACAGCATTATTTATATTATTTAAGACATGGAAATAAACTAAGTGGTAATCAACAGATGAATGGAAAAAGAAAATATGGTTCACATACATAATGGAATTTATTCAGCCATAAAAAGAAGAAAATTCTGCCATTTGTGACAATGTGGATGGACCTTGAAGCCATTGTGTTAAGTGAAATAAGCCGAGAAAGACAATACTGTATGGTCTCATTTATATGCAAAATCTTAAAAAATAAAAACCAGACTCATAGATACAGAAAACAGATTGGTGGTTGCCAATGGTGGTGGTGGTGGAGGGAGCAAAATGGGCAAAGGAAGTGAAAAGTTTAAACTTCCAGTTATAAGATAAATCCTAAGGATGAAATGTATAGCATAATTTGTAACTATAGCTAAAAATACATACTATATCATATATTTAAAAGTTGCTAAGACAATATATCTTAAGAAAAACGGAAAACCATACTATGTGTGGTGATAGCTATAAACTAACCTTATTGTGGTGATCATTTCACAGCATATACATATATCAAATTATGTTGTACACCTTGGACTATTACAATGTTATATATCAAGTTTTTCTCAATAAAAAAATCTAAAGAGTAAATACGTTTCTAATATAATGTCAG